GATTCTTTGATTTGAAAATGCTACAAAAAGTCATTTTGTTGTGTTTGCTGAATCAGTGAATCATTTTGTAGCACCAAAAATGTGTCTGGTAGCAACATCCAATAAATCCTGATATTTTTGGTCTAGATATGAAAGGAGCAGAATAAAATGTCACCTGTATTTCAGTGTTTTTATAATACTTGTATTGGAGAGAAACTTAGAAGAACAGAATAAACTTTAATGGAGCTGACTCCATGTACCAAGAAATTATGCAAAGGAAAAATAAATGAGAGGAGCTGAAGCTGAAGGCAGGTCTGATTTTGAAATTGGAAGAGGCAGAAAACTCAAGTAGCAAAGTGAAAATTTATGAAGATTTCTGGGGAAAGAACTGTAATTTGGCTTGGATAAGGCAGAAAGGAGATGTCCAGCATCTCAGGTGACCCAGGTCAGACAATGAGCAGTTCAGTAACTCTGGTTTTGCTATGAGACAAAGATAAATATGAGTTTGCTGGAAAAACTAGAGAAAAGAAAGTTCTAGCATTCAATGTATGAGATCTCTGATGATGGTTTTTTGGTGCAAATTTCATTAAAAAATAAATTTAATTTCATGCAGATCAGAACATTTCTTTCTAATTTAGGAAGTCACAGCATTGCATACAGGAGTGGATAGTCCACTGCTCTGAACCTGTAAGCTACAATTAAGAGAGCAAGTAATTAAAATATTTAGATTAGTGTGAGACATAGATTACAATAGGAAACTTTAGGACCAAATTTGACAGTCAGTTAAAGGTTTATCTGTTTTTTTTATGAGCTTGAGGCTGACTTCAGTTTCTAGTGTGGTTTCCCTCATGTGAGGTTTAAGGTGGAAATCAAACTAAGCCTTTCTCACTCGAAGTATTCATTTACAATGGAAGTTTGCACCCAGACATGGAAACATAAATAATAGCAAAGCCAGAAAACTCTTGATTATATAGTTGCAGGTAATTTCTAGTGTACATGTGATTTCCGTAAACCTTTAGGTTGAATCTGGCTAAACCTGACTGTCTCAACTTGTGTGGAACTCAACACTTGCCAAGACAGGCTTGGTCTTTGCATTCTGGGATGTTCCATTTGTGATTTTAACCCATTCTCTCTAAATTGTTCTTTGTGCCACTCACATTATGTAAAACACCAATTTCAAAATATAATCCAAGAAAAATTATTCTTTCTATTGTATTTCTGTGATAGATAACATTTCTATTTGATTTTTACAGTTTTAATGATGAATGCTCAGTTCAGGATCTTGAGCTTAAAATACTTTAGGAAAAATAAATATATTTGTGCCTTTTTTGATGAATCACAGTTTGAGGGAAATGTCACATCAAAAGCTACAGTTAGATAATATGCCACATTAGGCTTCTTCTAAAAAGAAATATGAATATTCAAAATTAATGTGGAAAATCCATATAAGGAAAGAATGACTTGTCAGACTTATTATAGATTTTTAGGCCATCCTTTGAATTAGAAATTTAATGTAATATCTTGCATATATATATATATATATATATATATATATATATAAATATATGGCTTGTATTTAATTCTATTTGTAATTTCCATTAAAATGTGTCATTAATTCAGCTTAAAAAAATCTTTATGGGTCATATATATAATGTATGTGGGATGGGTGAAATATATGCTGAGTATTCCTGGGTCTGAAAATTTTAAGTTTAGCTGCAGTGTTGGTTTGGGAATGATGTACTTTAGCTATTTCCTGGGATGATACATGTGCTCTAAAGGAGAATATTTTCCTTGTGCACACTATATTAAATAACAAGTTATGCAACATAAATGCTTAGTTTTATTAATTTGAAGCAGTGTGGGTTTACTACATGCATTTTATTATGAAAGCACAGCTATGATTAGCAGGGTTATGTACTCTATTTTCACAGGATAATAGTTCATGAGTGGTAAATCAAATATAACCATATATAGGAGCTGTCTTTTATAGATTTGCCCTCCAACATGCGTTGGGTGAGTGTGACAATAAAATGTATCAGTTCTCCCCCACTGCTGGCCTGGGCCTTGCCTTTATGAGATATTTTTCTGGCTGGGCAACAAATGAGATGGAGATAACTCTGGAAAAAAAACATGCAGGAGGTTGCTCAACCACACACTCCTGTTTATTCTCAGTAAATATGTCATGAGACTTCTTTAGAGCAATAAAACAAGGCTAAAACTCAGACTAGGACATAGGGGTGAACTGCACATCCTCAATATCCTTCCTGGATTTCACATCACACTTTACAAGAGCTGAGGGTTTCTTGTCAAAGTATTGACAACTGGCAGACTTGCTTTGGGTGATTAATTTCCAACATCTAATTTGTTTATAAAAGAAAAAGGTGCTGCCTCATTAAATCATATGGAACATATGAGAGCAAACCTGAAGGGAGAAAAAAGGCCAGTGGCATGGAAATGTGATATCCACAGAAAGTGCCTAATTACAAGCAGGCCGACCAGAGAAAGAGCCAAGCTAAACAACCCCTGACATTTCTGGGTAGCCTGAGGGCTCTGCTGGCAGCAGCTGTCCTCCAAGCAGGGCAGGGTTAAGGCAGCTCTTGCCACCCTCTGCTCCTTGTTATACCTGAGATTTTGTGGCTTGTCCCCACTTCTTTTTGGACTGGAATTTATCTATACATTGCCCTTTCCATTTCCTACAGGAAGTTAACTAGATAAAAACCCTCTTGAAATCCTGATGTTTCCAGGAGGTGCCTTGCTTTGCTATTTGGAGAGTGATATGAAACCTGTCAGAAATCTGCCCTTGACAGACAAGAAATGCTGGCAAGAAGCATCTAAATAAATAATGCAGATAAGAACTAGATCATGACATGAGTGAAGGAGCAAAATACTCATTAGAAGGTTCACTTCAGGTTTTTCTGTTGATGATCCCAGGCAGAACAGAGCAGAGATGAGAATGGACACTCTAGATTTTAGAGTCATAGAATCTTAAAGTTTGGAAAAGGCCTGTAAGATCAACAAGTCCAGCCATTCACACCTCATTTGGGCTGCAAAACCTCCTGAGAGACAGCTTCTGACTTGGCCTTGGCTGGTTTGGGGTCAGACCTCGAGCAGATTATGATTTTAAGTTAGACTCTGATTTCAAACTTATCACCTTACTTCCATCTCGACAGGATGAGAGGAAACGGGATCAAGTTCTGTCAGGGCGGTTTTGATTATTTATTAGGAAACATTTCTTCACCCGAAAGGTTGTCAGGCATTGGAACAGGCTGCCCAGGGCAGTGGTGAAATCACCACCCCTGGAAGAGATTAGGCTGAACTTCTGAGCGTCCCTATTTTTCTTGTAATTTACGGAATGCCTCAATATGAAATATTTATATTGGCCACCCATAAAATCCTGCCATTTTCTCTCCATAAAACACCACTGTAGTGCAGAGAATATTGAAAATATTCTCTTTTATTGATCTGCCTGGACCTGTGGAATTTGAGGAGTGTTCTCTCCTACAGTGGCGATTCTGTACCATGTACCCGTGCAAGTATCAGTGGCATTGGTGTTACATCCATGTATTGCTTTGAATGATTCATTATCCTTATTTCCTTGGATTTTTTTAAGTAATGGAAAACTACACAGAGATACTGCTCACACAGCCCTTGATGCTACTCCTGCTCTCTACAGTATCCTCTACTGATAATTGTAAAAATGCAATTCCTGAGCATTCCCTTAGCACATAGAGAGATAACTAGTAGTCTTTATATCCATCAATGTCCCAAATTCTGAATTCCATGTGTTGTGGTTTTAAACCAATAACTAAGAAAATTACTTATTTCTTGCTGTGAGATATGGATTAGAACAAGAGCAAAACAGGCATACAACTTAAAAGGGGAAAAAAAAAAAAAAGCAAGTTTATTGACAAACTACAACAATAAGAACACCAGAATAAACTTCCAGAAAAACCTTTCCATCCCCTATCTACCCACTATTCCCTTGTTCACATGACAACAGAGACAAAAACTTTGGAACTTTGATGGTTAAAACAGTCCCAATTCTTGCTACAGTCTTTTCACCAGTCTTTATAGAGAAACAGAAGTTTCTTCCTGTTAATTTATGGAGTTTCTCACAAGAAAACTATTTTGTTATAGTTTTCCATTGCCCTAATGTTAGCTGCCCAGAGCTGCTATTATTAGAGCCCGCTCCTCCCATTTTCACATCACTTTGAAGTGTGTATGGGCCATGAGTCTAGAGATAGCATTTTTAAGGATAAGTTATTCAAAGGCAAAAAAGTCTTCTTCATCTGTTTCTGTGAGCTTCACCAGAAAACAGTTTTCTCATTGCCTCTCAAGGCTTCAAATCTCCCAGCACTTCCCTATACCATAATTACTCTACTTTTTACTCAAATTTACACTTTGAACACTTTATTCCTCTCTAGATCCTGTATCATGAATTAAAGGAGTTCTTTTCAGGACTTCATTGTCCATCTCCATAGTTTTAACAGAAAGATATTTCAGCTTAATTAAAGCATCTTCTTAATTCTCTACCTTTCCTGAAGTTTCTTTTCTTTCCTGTTACTGGTAGTTTATAAAGTCTCTTTTCATGTTGATCACTCTCTTTTTCTCTCTCTGGATAAAAAGATTAATCCGCAAGTCTCATCTGGGTAATGAAAGAGCTAAAATCTTGCCCAGGCTTTTGTAGATGGTTCGGTGATCTCTGTCGAACAGGAGCTGGAGCCGTCTGCGATGGAAAGTTCTTCATAGCTGCTATGGAGAGTGTGGCTGTCTCCGCTTGCTGCAGGTCCTGAGCTTCTCTCCTTCTTCACTCGGCAGTTTCTAGTGAATTTAGTTACAGCAAAACCTGCAGCCGAGCCAGAGATCGGCTCGGCCCGGGCCCGAGGAAAACCTTCCCCAGGCCCCCCCATCTCCCGGCCGGGAGACGGGGCAGGCCCGGCCCCATCCCCGCCCGGCCGCATGGCCTGGGCAGGGACGGGAGGCCTGGAGCTCCGCTACCCTCCACAGCCAGGAAACAAAGAGAACCCAGAGAGCTCTGCTTTTACATTTTAAGGTAGGGTTCACAAGTTGATCTTACTTTTCAATGGCCTAAACTGCTGTCAATTCTCAGCAATGACCGATAATTGGTCAGTAGAAAAGACTCCAGGCAGCTCCCAGCAACTCCAAATCCCTTAAAGGTAAAGTAACTCCATGACACCATGTCATGGAGTTTTCTGTACAATAATTTTGCAGATTGTATGATCATCATTAAAAATTAAAAGTAAATCTGCAAAGGCGCTACTCAAAAGTGAGTGGGACAGAAATCAGTTCCTCCTCTCCCGTTTGCTGAAACCGAGTTTAATGCTCTCCCATTATCAGTATTTTAGAAGCTCACTTTTACTTGTCATGCTCCACACCATGAGCAAATCTTTGTTTAGGCCTCTCCAGTGAGTAATTACCCAAATCTCATTTCATTTGTATGAATTGTGCATGGTGTTGATGTGTCTCTTTACTCATTTTTAAAGTCAGTGTTGATAATCTTGAACACTTATTAGTATTGATAAAATAAGATGTTCCCTGGCAGAGCCCATCATTGCTGTTAATTACTTTTTCGTTTAGCAAGTGGCAGAAGTACTCTGTGTGAAGGGGACTGATATGAACATTGACACAAAGTTTATTATTTACCACTTTAATTGGTAATTATTCACTTTTGGAGGTTATTTTTCTCTTGTATCCTGGAAATGCAGTGACTACTTGAAGCGGGACTTCTTATTGATGGCTGTGGCCTGTTCTTGTCCATGAGCCATCCCCAAAATTTTGCAATCTCTATATATACCAGGGGGTTCTAATTAGTTGCATGATTTGCATGAAAAGTCATTGAAACTCAGCTCTATACAGAATTATTGCTAGCCGCCTTATTTTTTAAAGAAGCATTTGGTAGTGAATCTTGGAATCCCTATTCTATATGAGATTTGCCTTCTATTGGATACACAGATGCTCCGAGTATTTTAGGAGAAAATACAAAGCCACTGATTTATCCCTCAAAAGATCCTGATCTCTCATGCTTTTATCTTATCTAAATACTGGTGAGCAAACCAAATCAGATTAAAGGGGGAATGTTTTTCTCTTATCCCTTAGACTTGCTGAAATCTGGGCTTATCTGCTGTGTGTCAGCTATATTTGTGCTTCAAATTCCAAACATCTGTTTTTGAGCAGTGTTTTCGTTTTTTATTAACCTCCATCACACCCCAGCATCTGGGCAGGGATTCTGGGTCAGAATTCTAAAAACCTTCAACACACATGTTGAGGAATGGCAGAGTTGTATGGTCACCTCTGAGTGGGAAGGGGAAATCCAGGTACAGCAAGAATGGCTTATGCAAAATTAATTTCTATTCCCTTTTCTTTTCCTTCAGGCTTTTTCATTTCTAGTGGAAACTTCGCCTCCTGACATCTTCATGAGGAATTGCGGCTGCATTATCATAGTACCATGGACTTTCCAGCTATTTTTATGGAGAAATAGTAATTCAGGTAAACATGAAATTATGAACAGTCTCTTAAACTGCAGCATTCCCCAGGGGTAAATACTATCTGTAAAAACCAGTTTAATTTCTGAGATTATGTAATATTTATTTCTGAATGAGAAGATGCTCAAATCATAAACCAAAATAGACAATGTTTTTTACCTGAATTAGCTGGGTTCGAAATACAACCAGCACTGAAGCTGAAGTAAAGTTTGTAAGTTTATCCTCAATGGCAGTAACAGATGAGATAAATGTTCTCTTTGTTTAACTACATAACTTTGCTCAAAAACTGTAGCTTGTCTGCCACAGATTAATTATGAGCAATTATTAAATTATCAATATAATACTTATAATTATTATAATATTTGCTTTTAGGAAGGAAATTTCCTTTTATTTTTTCAAGTTAGAATAATGAACATATTTATGAGCTCTTCTTTCTTACTATTCTAAAGAATTGTATTAAAACCCTTGATGTCACTTTGTGATATGGTTTAGTGGGCATGGTGGCAATCAGTCAAAGGTTGGACTTGATGGATTTGGAGATCTCTTCCAAACTTAATGACTCTATGATATTATGCAAAGGTAGCTGCTTTATTGCTTGTGGTGTTCAGGGTGCACTTTGCATGTGTTCTGCTGTTTGCAAGGTTAATAATTTTAAGCTCAGTGTATTGCAGCTGTTAAAATAGTTTTTCTAAACGTCTTCACAGTATGATGCCAGCCTGTTAGTGTGGGTTTCCAGTCCAGGGGAAAAAAGTATCTTCCAAACTTCAGGTGGTCACTGACTTTTGTGGTCAGATCCATATCTAGGTAAATAATGTAAATTCTCAGAGTGCCCAGAGCAGCTGGGGCTGCCCCTGGATCCCTGGCAGTGCCCAAGGCCAGGTTCGACATTGGGGCTGGAGCAGCCTGGGACAGTGGGAGGTGTCCCTGCCATGGCAGGGGTGGGACTGCATAAGCTTTAATGTCCCTTCCAACCCAAATAATTCTGGGATTCTAAAATCCAAGTATAGTTGGGAAAAACAAAACAAAACCTCAATATCTTTTCAAATCTTTGTTGCTTTGGAGTTTTTCTTCATTGAATAATAGTGTGTGCTAGACCAGAAAATCTCCAACTGCTCTCCTTTGGTGACTCATGGCTATTTAACTTACTGAATGCTATTGGCCAGTTCTCTTGTTTCAAGGTATTAAATCCAAGTCTGTGTGAAGCAGTTCATAAGTAAGGCATTTGTGATCTTTTGCATCCAGTGAACAAAAAGACGAGAAGGTATTTCTACCACACACCTGTGTGATGCTGACATGCAAAATCCATTGTGTTGATGCATTATCAAAACGGCAACTAATGAATTTTATTATAATAACTTTACATAAAAAACATGCAGTTCAACTGTAGACTGAAGAGATTTGCACAGCTTTATTTGCTCAGTATGGTTTAACAAAGAATCTGAAAATGTAATCAAATGCCATTAGCAGGATTACTGTTCTTTCCTGTCCATCATTAGTAGCTGGACTTGGAAACACTTGTGGTGGGATGAGGGAGTTTTCCAGATGTCTAAGCATTGCCTGTTAACCAGTAAAGGACATCCCTAAATTGTTAGTTGCTTTAAATTATGCCCTGTGTCATTGCAAGTGCTTGAACAATGCTGTCACTAAGGGCTATCACCAGGATCGCTGCAGCTCCAGGCAGCTTTATACTGGGCTTTCCAAAATCGTCTGAGTAGTGTTTTATTTCTAAGGAATATCTTGTCAGAGAATATATCTGAAAGAAGGCAATATTTGGTGCAGTAGAATCACAGAGTGTCCTGAGTGGGAAAGGACCCACAAGGATCATTGATCCAACTCCTGTCGCTGCACAGACAGCCCAAAAACCCAGCCTGTGCATAGCTGGGAGCAGTGTCCAAAGGCTTCTGGAGCTCTGCAGCCTCGGGGCTGTGCCCATTCCCTGGGAAGCATGTTCTGCTGACTCAGATCCACCTGGCCATCCACCAGAACCCCCAGGTCCCTTCCCATGGCCACTCCCCAGCCTCCCATCCCCAGTCTGTTCATACACCCAGGTGCCCCATCCCAGGTGCAGAATCCAGCACTTTCCCTTGTCAAACATCACACCACTGGTGAGTCACAGCCCTCTCATTTGTCAAGGTCTTTCTGTTTGACATGATTTTGTGAAGAGAGCAATTGTGACACTGAATTTTAACAAACCCTTTGCCCCTAAGCATCTCCTCTGCAGCGAGAGCTCTGGGAATCCCTTGCTGTATTAGCAGATATTGTGTTTCCATTGCTCATACAGCACCAGCCCAAACAAGCTGTCTCTGATTCCTATAGGGAACCCAAACTTTCTTATTGCTTCATTTGGGGGATGGATGTGCCAGCACTGCCTCTGCTGCTGTCAGTGATTTGGAGAGGATTTATTGTGGTCACTGGTGCCAGGGGGCTTGAAAACCATTCCTTGTGAAGCAGCAGAGAATAAATATGGTGTACAAAATCCCTGTGAGTGCTTATGCAGCAGGTACAAACACCTGGTGCCACATCTCCCAGCTGTGGTCAAGCTGGACTGAAGTGCTACTCATAACATACATCAGTGAGTTTATCAGGGCAGGGTCACCGTGAAGGAAAAGTGAATAAAACACCTGCTTTATTACTTTATATATTGCATAATTTTGTCTACTTGCTTTTCATTCTTTTTCTCCCATTCTATCACAAATGGGTGAGATTTGAGCAGTATTATTGCAACCAGCATTCAGGAAGGTTTTTAGTGCATAAACAGCAGAATAAAGTTAAAGATAAAAATATCTCTATTACAAAAAAAAGATAAAAATATCTCTATTATAAAAAAAGATAAAACAGGATAAAGTTATCCTGTACAGGATCTAGCAGTTGTAACATGCACCACCACTTGAAGTTTATATGTGCAAGTCTTTGCTTGAATTAAGTCACACAAAATATCCAACATTATAATCCTGGATTCTTTGGCTCAGAATCATCTCAGTGATAATGAGTGTCCGTAAAGTGACTTTCACTGTGTGTTAGCCACAGAGCATGGCTCTTCCATTCTCACAGAATCCACCTGAAGACCCGATGTGTACTTTGCATTTAAAATTCAGACAATGCATTTATTTGGAGTGGGGAGAGAGTAGACTTGTGAGGGTTTTTTTTTTTCTTTTCATGCCTGTTTACACAAATATCAGAAGAGAAGTCAGATATTTGAGTTGTTTCATATGGTTGGATGTTTTTAGAATGTTTTTGCTTGTTTAGGTCCTCAGTGTCATTTAAAAGTAGTCAAATAGTTTCTGCAGTGTTTAACCAGGGGTGCTTCTGGCAAATCCATCACATGCAATGCTTCAACCTTCAGGTACAGGAAAAATTGGTGTTTAAAGGGTCATTTCTTACTTCTCCCTGCTGCTATCAAAGCAATCCCTTCCTTTAAAGCTGAGACACATCAAATGTTGAATCCACACCATTATTTCATCCCCCAGTGGAATGTGCCAGCCCTGCTTCAGTGAAGGGAGCCCCATATTGCACTTCCAGCGCAGAAATTACATGGAGGGTGATGTGTCTGCTCCCTTTAGGGAGCGCAGAGAGCAGCTCTCAAAGAGCCACAGCACATTTTCCATGCTGGAGCAGGTGCCACAGTCAAGTCATTACATAACTGTGGCTGCAGAGGAAGTGCTTCCTGACATTTCTATGCCATATGAGACCTGAAGTCCACAGAACAAGTTGCACAGTGCGTTAATTCTTGTTATATCAGGTTAGAAGAGGATCAACCTGAAAGCTCTTTTTGCTGTCATCATACATAGGAATAACTGCAAAAATAACTTGTTCCTGGAACTGGGGAAACATCCTGGGGGAACTGAAGCCTACAGTGCCTGTCCAAACCAGCAAGGGCAGAGCATCTCAGCGTGGCAGTGTCCAGTGAGCATGTGCAGCTTGGAAGAGTTGGAGAAGTGGCATTTTTAATTAGAGAGGCCCAAGCCAGACTTACAATGACAGCATGGGCATAGCTGAAGAATCCCTGGTTCCCTGGAGAGCATTGCTGCAGCCCTCTTACAGCACTGGCATCAGAGCAGATTCTCATCTGTATGCCCAGGACGTGGTGCACAAACTGGAACTCGAACACCGCACCGTTTCACAACTGCACGCATTTTTTTTCCTTTATTTCAGGGGAGTTAATGCCACTGAGGGTGTAGGGGAAGGATTTGGCTACAAACCATTACTATTGACACCATCCCTGGCAAGTGCCCCTCATTCCCTCCCTTTTCCTGTGTCCTGTCCAAGCAAGCACACTGATGATTATTTTTTTCAGCAAAGTTATCTGGTTTGCAAATTGAAGTCAAAGCTCTGAAAGGTTTGGGGATAGCAAAAACTGGCTTCAGACTCTTCAGCAGAAAGACAATACAAATATTCCAAGGCAGCCTTTGTGATGGCTCATCTGTGGTATATTTGCATTACATTAAAAATGTCCCTTCAAAATAATGGCATTATTTATGAAAAGAGAGAAGGATCTGGCCCCTAGTGCCATAAAACATTGATCCATTCTATTAAAAAAATAAAGTCATAAAGACAACTGGACATTTTAAAGGAAGATATGAAAGGAGGAGTTTTTACATTTTAATATGAAATACAAATATAAAAGTTATAAAAAATAACTTTTATTTGGCTCAATACTGTCCACAGTAAATTTCATTATTGTTTTCCAGAATCCAATATGTCACCTCTAATCAGGCACCTTTATTTTATAATTTTTAAATCCTCAATAACTCTTCAAATTGCTCTCACCAGATGAAGGATGTCATGCCCTTTTAGACACTTTGCTTCTGTGGAGAAGAACAACTTCTTGAGCAAGTTTCCCAAAATTGATAGCAGTAATTTTAAAGAATGACAGTATAGGTGGAATATTCCTGTCTTTTTCAATTTCTTTCTAGCCATGTGTTATGTAATGTCTTTTTATTATATTCGAATCTTTCATTTTTGAGACTAACTGCACATGAAACCCTGGGCTTCTCAAGCTCTTTC